GGAAGGCGGCTGTGGACGCTGAGCACGGCTGTCCTGCTTTGCTCACGCGGGCAGCGACCTGAGATCCAAAATTGCGAGAAAGCGCAGCTTCACAAGGAGTCACGGCAGCAGCCCCAGACCGCATCTTTCCGCGGCATTCTTCGAGACGAATCGATCTGTGATGGTCCTCAGGCCCGAAGCCAAGCGAAAACGCCCGGCGTGAAACAAAAATCCAACGCCCGGATCTCAAGGGATGACGAGCGACGGATCGATCTGTGATGGTCCCCGGGCCCGAAACTGGGCGAAAACGCCAGGCGTGGAACAAGAATCCAACAGAGAGGACGAGCGACGGATCGATCTGTGATGGTCCCGGGGCCCGAAGCTGGGCGAAAACGTCCCGCGTGGAACAAGAACCCAACGCCCAGGTCTCAAAGGAGGACGAGCGACGGATCAATATGTGATGGTCCTGCGGCCCGAAAACGCCGCGCGCCTCAAGGGAGGACGAGAAACTGATCGATCTGTGATGGTCCTGGGGTCCGAAACTGGGCGAAAGCGCCTGGCATGGAACAACAATCCAACGCCTGGATCTCCAGGGAGGACGCGAGGCGTATCGATCTGTGATGGTCCTGGGGCCCGACCAGCGTGGAACAAAAACCCAACGCCCAGATCTCGGCTACACGTAAGAGTGGCCCTGGGCAGGAATGACCTTTGGTGCGCGACTTGACGGGGGACGCGGGGTGGCCAAACCCGGGCGCGCAAGCCGCTGCTACCGCTTCGCGCTCAGCGATCGGGGGACACTCTTACGTGAGGATCTCACGGGAGGGCCAGCGCGCAGGACTCGGGGAGGGCGCGGGGCGAGGAGCGGAGAGACGGGCGGAGCGGCGGCGGAGCGGCGGCGGAGCGGCGGCGGAGCGGCGGCGGAGCGGGAACCTCGCAGCGGGATGAGCGGGAGCAGAGGCGCACTTGCCGCGGCCAGGGGGCGGGTCAGAGCGCGGAGAGGGCGGCAGGGGGAGGGGGTAGGGGGGGGGGGAGGGGGGGCAGCGGCCCTGGGGCTCCCGCGGCGGGGGGCGTTCGTGGAGGAGTGCGCCCAGGGGGCCTCTGGCCCTGGAGGGCTCCGTATCGGAGGACTCTCCTTGGCTCTCGCGCCCCCTGGGCCCTGCGCCCTCGGGTGGGCTGCCGCGGCCGGGGAGCGGGTCAGAGCGCGGAGGGGGCGGCAGCGGGAGGGCAGGAGGAGGGGGGGGGGGCAGACTTCGCTGCCCTGATTACGCAACACGCAACACGCAGTGTGTTGACGTGGAGCTCAGCACGGATGTTGAAAACGCAGGTCTGGCGCGACACGTTCGCCAAAACGCGGACCAGCACGTGCCGAGCCAACACGCAGCGCACGTTTTGAACTCGGCACTTGCTGCGTTTCAAAACGGGCGCATCGGGGCAGCTAAAGAAGCAGAGGTTCTCGGAATTCTACGGTGGGGGCGTTCGTGGAGGAATGTGCCCAGGAGGCCTCAGGCCCTGGATGATTCCTGATCCACGGCCAAGCCTAAGTTGGTGTTCCACCGGCTTCCAGGGCCTGGATTCCTTTTAGGATGGCCTCGCACGCGCCCACCAAGGGCACGAGGTCCAGGCAGAGAAAAACCAGACAGTCAGGCGGCGGCGGCGGCCGAGACGTCGACGGCGACAGCGACACGACGGACGACCGACGGGACGCAGATGCGGAGGGCGGGGGCCACGGTGGGCAGACGCGACAGAGGGGCGGCGAAAGGAAGGGCGGTGTGGGCGGCGGAGGGGCAGACGTGGTGCAGGGAAGGGGCGGGGGTGGACCGCTGGGAGAAGGCCAGAGGCAGGAGGGAGAGGGCCAGGGGAGGGGCGGCCATGGCAGCAGGAGGAGGGCCGGGGCGGGGGCCATCGGAAAGGCAGGGGCCGTGCAGGAAAGGACCTGGAGACGGGGCCGCGTGGAGAAGAGGGGCGGAGGCGAAGGGTTGAGGGCGAAGGCGGGGGGTGGGGAGGAGGGGAGAGAAAGGGGAGGAGAAGAGGAAGGGGAAGGGTGAAGGGCGAAGGGTGAAGGGTGAAGGACGTTTGAAGGGGAGGAGGGGAGGACGGGGAGGTGAACGTCACGCCATGCCCAGATCGCCCCCGCCACAGCGAGCTCGCGTGGGTGGACCCAGACGGTGGCGGAGATCTACGAGTGCGTATCTTCGCAGTCGGTGGCCACACCGTGGAAAACATGCCAGCCTGCGCTTGGCGAAGTGACTGGATGCGAACTGTTCCGGGCCATGCTCGTGGGACTTGATGGCCGGGGCGCGGCGAGCACCCGCGGGCCGGCGGGTGCGGGCGGTTGTCGTCAGCCTTCGGGTCGACGAGGCAGTCTCGCCGTCGAGGCAGCAGACGTGCCGCTCATCCCCCATCTGGCGGAGGCAGGCACGGGTCGCAACCACGAGCGTCAGAGAGGGGAGCACATCACGAGGGATCAAGGCGAGGTGAGCGCCCAGGTCAAGGCAAGTCGGCGCGGCCCCACGCCCGAAGGGGAACGACAAGGAGGCCCGCTCAGGGGGGAAACATCGACCCGTAATCGGGGACACGGTCGTCGTTGCCAAATGGAACGCTGAATGAGGAACGAAGGGGCTTTCCTGGCCACGGCGAGCCTCGGCCGCGGATTATTAGGCTCCACGACGTAGATCTGGGCATGCGTCGGAAACCAGAGCCCCTCCCGAGCCTCAAGTCGTTCTTACTTCAGCGTCCTGGCTATACGTCTCCGGTAGGTCGACGATGGGCCCCCGATGGCGAGGCCGCACTTTTCGAGGGCGGGGCTGGCTACCAGCCCCTGATGGCTTGCGGGCCCCAACTCGGGCCTCCTGCGGCCGTTCGCGACGATCCAGGCACTCCCAGAAAGCTCTCGGCCAGGCGCAGCTGCTGGAGAGCGTCCCGAGGCTGGAAGACCGCCGACCACCGACGAAAGCATCGGAAAACCTCGAACCTCGCAACTGTCGCCCCCCCATGAGCCTATTCCCTCCGTACGCTGCCCCTGAGCGCCACGAGCATCAGGAGGATGGTCACCAGGTGGGGGGGGGGCCAGCTCCACACCGCCGCCGGCAGCTGTGCCGCTGCACGGCCCTGAGGCGAGGAGCAGCCGCTGGCGGACCACCTGCACTGCCAGTAGCAGAGAGAACGGTCATCACGAGCGGCGGACACGTCCGCTTCTGCGCCATCGCGGTCAGGATTCTGTGGCGCGATCCCACGCACCGGGCATCCGCGAAAAAGCGCCCCGCATCCGCGGGGTCGCGGCCCAAGGGCCCGGCACGCGAGGCCGCGGGTACGGAAATGTTGTTCCCCAACGAAGGCCTCCCGGAGAGCCTCTTTTAGAGCCCTCTTGGGCCGTATCAAGGGCCTCTTGGGCTGTCTTGGGGCTCTCGTGGCCCGTCTGGTACAGCCTTCGGAGGTTGTCTTGGGGGGCCTCTTTGGAATGCCGTGGGGCCTCATGAGGCGACTTTGGGCCGTCTTGGAGGTCTCTTGAGCCGTCTTGGATCGGTTGGATGGTCGGCCAGACATGGGGATCGAACAACAATGTCCGACAGACATGTTGCTCCATGAACAAAAAAAGCTGCCGCGCAAACAGAAATCGGTTCAGGCCTTTGGCAGGCAAAGAAGAGCACGTGGTCCTTTTCCGAAGTCGATCTAAGCCACACAAGGGATGCGTTCAGGGCATCGAAGGCATAGACTTGCGGCCTCTGCGCTTCAAGTTACGAATGATAACTAGCTGGCGAACGAAACAATGATCAACATCGAAACCAGTACCAAGAGAACCTGCCCTTGATGTAAATGACCTTGTGCGTGCTCTGATAAAAAAGGGCCCTTGCTGCATTTGTCTACGGAAGTTGCCGTTATCAGGGTCGCAACATGCTCGAAGCCGCGAGGCGCCTGTGCCACAGCACTTTGTGGGCAACCTAGTGCAGGGGGGTGGAGGAAGCAAGAGGAAGGAGAGAGCAGGGGAGAAGAGGGAGAGACGGATTGAAGAGAGGAGAGAGAAGGGGAGAAGAAAGGAGGGTGGTAGAAGAGACCAGAGACAGGAGGGAGGGAGGGGACCCATATCCCTGGCGTTGATCTTTTCCAGAGCATGGGGACCCTCGGAAGTCTTGGCCCCTTCCCCGGGACCAGCTTTCCATCCTGATCAGTCGTTTGACCGTCTTGGGCCAAAACCCTCCAAATGTTGAAGATGCCAAACGCCTTCCCTCCTGATGTCTCCCAACCCTCCTACATTGGTGGGTCCTCGTTTTGACTCCGCAGCCCCGCGCCCCACCTGTCTCATCCCACCTATCCCCCGCCTCTCCCTCCTTCCCTCCCTGGCGATGCTGCCATCTGCATGCTGCAGCTCTCGCGTTGCTGCTCCTGCCGCTGCCAGCCGCTGCCTCTGCTGTTGCCCACCCCTCACGCTGATCATGCCCCACAGCGAGCTCCACCCGCGGCACCGGTGGGCGCGCCCGCATGGCGGCACCGCTCCCATATCAGCACACCCCTCAAGCAGATCATGCCAAACAGCGAGCTCCTCCCGCGGCACTGGTGAGCGCAGCGCGCCCGCCTTGGCACCGCGCCCATCTCTCGGCACACCCCTCACCCAAATCACGCCCCGCGCGGAGCTGCACTTACGGCACCAGTGAGGGCGTTCGCACGCGAGCCAGAGCTCACTTCGGCGCACCTCTCACAAGGATCGTGGCCCACCAGGATCTCCGCCTACGGCCTCAGCGGGCGCGTATACGTGGAGGCGTCCGCCAAAGCGGCGCGCCCCTCACGCGGATCGCGCCCCACAGGGAGGTACGCGCGTTTCTGCGAGCGTTCTCCGGAGATCCCAATCCGCACTGGCCCCTGGCGCGCAGTACATCAAGAGAGGGTCACGCCCTGCGCTACACACAGCTGCATAAGATTGGGCCCATCGCCAGGCTAATTTCACGAAGCGACTGGGTCTGGGGGAGGTGGTCTAAAAAGACGAGGCAGGAAGGAAGGCGTTGTAAGGGAGCAAAGCCAGCTTGGTC